ATATTTGAAACGCTCTATATTTTGTACCTACTGTACTTCACAATTGTAAGTAGATTCGATATGCTGAAAGCAACGTCGAAGTAGTATCATTGATTATATAATACAATCAGTGGTATTGTTAGTATATCTTATGCCTAATTTAAAAATTATGGGAATTTTTTTTGTTTTGGTAGAGATATGCAACCTTAGATCTGATATTTATAAATACCGTTTTAGGATCAAAATAGACGTCGTGTGGGATTCCTTGGGTTGACAATGTTTGCATGTTTGGTTTGGTTTACTGTATCATAGATATCCACAAGTTGTGATATGAAACATCTGCCTCGCACGCGATCGATTGATCGATATATCGATACATTGGTTAGTGAACGAGGACGAGTTTAGAAACAATCAATAACAGTTGTCTGATTTAATTAGTCGGGATTTCAAAAATGAATAAAAATATGTTAGCTGAATTACCATACACACTTTTTAACCCTAATATTAGGCTATCAGTGAATAATCTTCATTAAAAATAGGTATACAAATGTCACTAAAAATGGATGTAGCTTTGTAATCTTCTATGTATAAATAAAATCCAATGTATTTTTGTACTTCATGCGTTACCAATCCTTTTATATACAGCTTTATAATATTACTATGATTTTAGTTAAAGTCCAATCATGCAATCAGACGATTTTAAATTCGTTTCGCGTAGGTTTGCTGTGGCGAGGGTAATTTTTACCATCATTAACTCACAAGTTATAATTAAAACCCAAAGATTACCTACGTGTGTCACGAGAAAGCTGTCCCATCAGTAATTTAATTGAACCTGAATGTTCAAGAAGTTAGCGTGCAACTGTTGCATGTGGTGAGCGAATAACCTTATAAATATTGTGTACTTCGTTTTACCTTCGAGAACAAGGCACATGTCGTCATAAATTGTATTTGTTTATGCTAACCGTCGAAACAACGCCAAAACTTTTCTAAGTTTTAGTATTTAATGCTTAGTTTTTAGACACTTAGACACTTCGCATTTTAGAGTATGTTGTACATTCAATAAATATTACTTTTGCAGGGTAAGGTTTAGTACAAATTATAATTCTAGTACTGTACCTACTGATTGAAAAAATAAAATATAAATGTTTTTAACGTGGTTAATTATATGTTTGGAGCCGTGATGTGATTTATTTTTCTGTGCCTGCGTTTTAAATCAAAATTTTCCAAATCCGGTCACTAACACATTAGGCCTTTTTCGTTCCCTTAAAATTATCTTTAAGTAATATCGCGTGGAGGCCAGGATTTTGAAAGTAAACATTGCTACATGTAAACATGATTAAGACTCGACTTAAAGATTGACCGTGTTACTTCTATAAGTTATAGTTAAATTATTATGTATAAATGATACTACTAACGAAATAAAATACTACATATAAAATAACCTCGGAAGCAGTCTTGAGGCAGACTTTTGCTAAGCTTATTAAGAGATTATATTCCTAAGTCGTCAACACTCCCACAAGAGTTTAGTTGATGTTTGATTCAACTCTTGGTCCTGGCTAAATATAAAAAAAATATTCCATATTTGAAAAATTTAATTGGAAATTTTTGAAACTAAAAATTTAATTCGTATAATTTATTGCCTTATTGGCACGCAGACCTACTCTGTTCTTTATCGACTTTTTAGCTCAAGCATTTTCCAAATCGACCGATATACCGTCGTCCGTCAAGCTACTTTAAAAGATTACATATAGGTACTTGAAGAGTCACTATTTTCAGAACACCTGTTGGTACACAAGAAAATTATCTATCTAAATATATAAAAGGCAAAGCCCTCACTGACTCACTGACTCACTCACTCACTCACTCACTCATCACTAATTCTCCCTTTTCCCATTTACCTAGGAGGCTGAAATTCGGTACATCGATTCGTTGGGCATTAAATAGGAAAACTAAGCAGTTTTTATTCTGATCGGTCTTTCGGGCTCCGCCCCAGTGGCTCTGGATTTTCCCATGTCCTATACTATAGTAGACCGTAGATTATAGTAAACCAAATTTTCTCAAAACGTGTCCTCCCTCATTTTAAATGCAAAGCACGAGTATTTAGCTACAATTAGCATTGTATATCAACCCCGTACGGAGGACGGGTACTCAGCTAGTTTTAGCGAATTTCCCTATAGGGAAGTAGCTATTACCGTAGGTCTCATGGTAAGACTTAGGCCCGGGACCGATTTACTTTTTCATTTTAATGTCCCCAGAGGCCAAAAACACCATTCGTTCAAATTTTTATATATGTATATATATATATATAGGTATATATATATATATATAGATTTATATATATATATATGTGTCCGTGAACACGATAACTTGAGTAATTTTTATCCGATTTTGATGAAATTTGGTTTGAAGGTGTAAGGCGGGATAAACTTGAATGAGTTCGCGATCCAGCATGATCGGACCATGGGAACAGGGTTTTATGGGGGGTTTTATGGGGTAAAAATTGGTTTTTCTCACTTTTTACCCTCAAAACACAAAATTTCCCAATTTTTCTCTAAACCTTCTTAAAGAGCTTGAAAAAACAAACAATTCAGTATATCAAAGTGTTTTTGTACGGTTATTGGTTACGGAGAAAACTAAAAAAATGGTAAATTTAAAATTCCCATGTTATTCTTATGGAGAATATTGTAAAATGTTGTAGTTTTCTTGTTTATGGATATATTTTGATCAAACTTGGCAAATTTATTTATTTTATAGTAAGCTATCAATATTTTACTAAAAATACACTACTTTATTAGTTTCCTTGTAGCAGCAAACCTAGGTACTCGTTAAACCTAATGTTATTTAAATAGATCAATTGAAAATCAATTCGGCCAAATGGAAATTCGCTTAGACGGCAGGTTTGCTGCGGCGGGGGTATTTCATATTAAAAAGGAATTAATGAATCTTAACAGCTGTTTCAATTAAGGTTCTGTTCTATGATTTTCAATGGCATTAAAGTTACAAGGATTACCCAAAGGAGGGTGCAGAATTATTATTTTTTTTATTTATGGCAACAGCTAATTGCAAGCAACAGTTGAGTGAGCGTAGCGAACGAACTTCAACCAGGACGTGAGTGAGCCATGCGAATTCTTATGAAGTTAAACGGGGCAATACCGGCGGGTACAGCTAGTTTTATATACGTAAATTCAAATTATCCTTCAATTCAGGCATGTAGTAGTTCTAAACTTAAGTTCATTATTAAAACTAGTGGAAGCACGTTATACAGGGTTTAGGCGTGTGTCACTTTGCGAGTTAGTGAATGAAATCTACCTAAAAACCTGAAAACTACACTTCTTTTTGACAGCAGTCGAATGAGTGGTCGTAAAAAGGTAACAACCTTCGCTAAATTGGAACCAGTCTTCCGGAATATTCATAATATTGTTTTGGCATTTTAAACACTGATAACTTCAAAGTTATAGGCAAAGCAAAGCAGTTGGAAGTTTCTGATTTATTCGTCACTTTTGTCCTAACACTACAAACAGTGATCACGAACCCTTCAACTCTCACAATGCAACAAGTTGTGCACTATGTTTGGAACGTGCTACCGTTGATTATGTATACTCAATAGTATCTTCAGTATCCAATAGTAATAATAGTATCTAGTTTTATACTAATATAACAATATATTATATAGTAATTGTGCCACTAACAGATAGAAAACTATGTCAGTACTGAATGCATTATTAGTCGTGGAATAATTAATGGCCCATTAGCTAATTGTTTTATACCGTTCTTATCGAACAGGTATTAGGAAGTTTGATTTGTTTTCGGTTTATGATGTTTATATAATGTTACGTTGCTCAAATCGTGTGATTTTTATTCTAGTTTAAATGTAATTCATGTTAGAATTTTTGTTACACATTCTCAAAAAAATTTTAAACTAAAAACTTGTATTTTATTTGTAAAGCATAAAAGATGTTTGGCTTTTCGTAAACTTTTATAAAATTCGGTTGATATGATTGTGTGTATGTTTGATCCTACATATTACATTAGCTCCACAGACCGCTTTTTACAACTGGTTTTATATCTATTTAAAATAAGTGTGTAATTTTATCTCCCTCTCAATGTTAAGCAAAATTTTAAAAATAATCCCTGTATTATTTTCAATTAACGTTAGAGATGTTTTACGAATATTTTATTCATATAACGCAATTCATTGTATCATTTTACTGTATAATTGTTGTTTTACATTAAAGATAACTTTGTTCCTCAAACATAGTCTCAAACAAATACATTACAGAAGGATTTTATTTTATTACACTAATTAGAGAAGCTAAAGATATTGACATTGATTTATAATTAATTTAGACGCTTTGGAACTTTTTAGCCTAATCTAATAGCTTTAGAAAATTAACTTCAGAGGCATTTGGTAAATTTATAAATAGTATTGAAATTCGGTTGTGCGCATTTTCGCAACTGACACACAAGGATTATTCTGATTCTGATTAATTTTACTACTATTAAATTGGCTAATGATAAAAATGAATGATAGAATACGTCTAAAACAAAAGAGTTGTGTTGTGAATTTAAATTTCAAGCTGATAAAGGCAATCGAACACTTCCAAATTCATAAAACCTCAGCTTAACCGTAATTTTCTCTAAATTAAATTTAGTTAATCATATATTTTGGTTCAGGTTAAATCAATTTTGGTTTAAGGTATGAGTACGGTTCCAGATTTAACCTTGAGATATTCATATTTAGTATAGGTAGTTAACCACTCTATTCCATATTTAAATGATTCGTAGGATTGAATTACTGTACATGTTTACGGTGCTTAATACAATTAAATACATTAATTTTAGATAAAATACAAATTTTCTTATGTATTATTACAAATTTTGGTGGTAGTAAAAACTATGAACATTTAATATAATATTCTTTTAAATTTTAATATTCACGTCAAAATTTTCCATAGTATTCATGTAAGAGCTTTGTTTAAATACGAAAATTTGCAAGAATAAACTAAGTAAAATATACTTACGATTGACAAATTTTTACACCTCAGCAGTGAAATAGTGTCTGTAACTTTTTTTATTTTCACCAAAATAGGAACCCACCCTGATACTGTCTTATCAGCTTCATTTAATTCTCTTGTAATCTACATTTAAAATAGACTGTTCCACACACAACACCACTTATTGGAAAGTCTTACTTTAAAAAATTATTATTTAATTTATCACACACATCATCACCGATTAAGCCTATTTTACAAGTGTCCAAATTGTAAAAGCTATTGCATCGTACACTATTGTATATTATTGCGCGAATGTTAACACACTTTTGTAGCTTTTGCGCAGCCGTTTGCGCCTGGGCAGCTGGTATAGATTGGACGCTCTCCTTTTGAGCTTTACTAGCCAGTATAAAATTCAATAATATTATTTAGAATTAAATTTATCTCAATACGATAATGTATTTTCAAATTCTTTGTAGCATAAAGAATCAATTTTTACTGTTATTATACTTTTTGTATAAATATTCTATAAAGTATTTCATACAGTAATCAACGTAAATGTATGAACAATATATAGAAGGCTTCGTAACGTTAATCATCAATAGAGACAGGAGTGGGGGATTCTGGTCGTATTTCGATTATACAATACAACAGGCAGTGGAGTGGAGTAGCGTCAACTGTAGCCCAAAGTCAAAGTCGTTGTTTGACAGATTGTCATTTTCGGTTTGTGTTTTGAGGATTGATTGATTGTTGTTCGGAAGTTCAAGCAATCTTTGTTGACACTTTACCTATCAGGATTCTCTTCTTTTCTAACGTGAGTACATGGTTATTTTGTCCTGTTTGTAATTCCTGTAAATCATTTACGTTTTAATCATTAATAAACATAGGCCTTATTCCGATTGATTTATAGTTTCCGCTCACAATGACTCACTCTAACCACACATGGCCTTGCTGCATATAAAGCCTTCATCTCAGACAGGAAACGAATTTGAATAGTAGGAATTGAATACTAAGTAGTTTGCACCTAGATTGTTTAATGAAAATCACCTAATTCTGCACATTGGCTTTTCGTAATATTTTAGTCATGGTTCTTATAACAGATGAACATGAAAGAAAAGAACTAGTATTCTCTGGGAGACCGTAAAAGGCAAGGTTGACTGTAAGAGGCCTTCCAACCTATTTCCTAGAAGGGAATGCGTTTTTATATTCTTTATATTTACTAATTTGTTTTATTTTCAAAGATTTTTGGACTAATGCCTAGGTGTAATCGTGAAAGTAAACATGAAACTAAGTTAAGGTACCGTGTCTAACTTAGGCTTAATTAACTTAACAATAATAAGTTAGCCTACTCTACTTGGCTCTTATGGTTTTAGCGGTTCATGCAGTATTATTATTTATCATATTTACCTGCTGACCATTAAAAAATGACGGTATTTATTCCGTATAGGTGCCTCCAAACGAATTTTCAATTTTGATATCTTACTTTATAGTTTTTTACCTCCTGAATCCAAATAACTTATACCATTATTTTTCACCGCTGATGAATATTTCTCAAAATATCGCCGTGAAAACATACAACATTACAATACACAAGGTAGGATGGATAACATTTACAAGTGGAATGAACTGTGGGTAACTAAGCCTACAGCTGACTGTTTTCAACCACACGACAAGCAACTGGAAGTAACAACATTTGAACTTTATTAACTCACTCTGATTCTATCATCAGCATTAAATGCCTTGTGACATCATTTTACGTCACTACAACTACAACTAGAACTCAAAACAAAAATACTCATACTCATACGTGCTGTGTAGTGCTAGTCTGCTACGCAGTTACAAGTCCAGGTTAAGTGAATAGAGTAACATGGTTTATGAGAAGAAGAACATCGTTGATTAAACATGATAACATCGTTGTAGAAACATTTCAAGTGATTCTGTAGTCAATAATGTTTTCTATAATGAATTTCGTCACATTATGGAGATATAGATGGACTGGTGGACTAATTACATGTAAGTTAGTTTAGTTCTTATTTAGGCATGTCAGGGTCGTAGGTCGTGCTGTATCCTTGGTGACTGCATTAAGTGTTTTGAAGTTAGGTTAGATAAGGAAGGTAAAGTTTAGGTTATAATGTATCCAGATGTTAGTTTATGTCGCCTGCAGACTGTTTTTGTAAAATTAAAATCCTGAGAGAAAAACAATTCAAATTACTATTTAAAAAAGGCCTACTAATCAAAAGGTTGCCGGTTCGATCCTGAGAAAAGTCCGTAGCTTTTTGATGGTTCGAAACTGGACCCAGCTGTTCCTGATCATTGGGCTTTAAATAAATGATCCTGGCTAATGAAACAGCTGATCTTAGTCGGTAACAAAGCTACACAGATCATCACACACCATTCTACACTCATCCTTCACTCATATTTGGGTTAAAATACGCACCTAAGTGGCGTCCCCATCTTAATGATTGATAATAATTGATAATAATCTAAACTACCTTCAAAGGACTTAATGCAGTCACCAATTCACATAAAGCACGACCTACCACCCTGACATGCCTTTTCTGACATCAAAAGGAGTTTGCTTACATTCTAGAGGTTTGGTTAGGTTATGTTATGTTAGAATAAGTTGGCACTATTTTATTATGTAATTTCTAAACGGCGAAATATAAATCAATAAATCATTAATAAGGATAAAATACTGGTAACAATAATACATTTTATTAAAATGTGTAAACTTATTGGTCTTAGAAAGTGAAAAGTCTAACTTAATCAGGTGATTTTCATATTGCAGAATCAGAGTTAGCTAATTAGTTGTCACTTCCATTTGCTTGACTATGATTGAAAACAATCAGCTGTTGGCTTACTTAACCCATAGTTCATTCCACTTGTAAATGTCATCCATCCTACTGTCACCTTGTTTATTGTAATGTTGTATATTATTACGGTGATATCTTGAGAAATATTCATCAGCTGTGAAAAATAATGGTATATTTGGATTCAGGAGGTAAAAAACTATAAAGTTAGATATCAAAATTAAAAATTCGTTTGGAGGCACCTATTTGGAATAATTACCAAAATGACATCCTTGTTTATTAAAATATATGGAAGGAAGTAAGTTAAGTTAAAGGCTTAAATAACTTAATTTAGGCCTAATCTAAATTGAAAATAATAACAATGAAAATAGGCTAGTGTCTAAATCTGGGTAGTATAAATTTAGCCTTGATCTAGTTTAAATTTGTAAATTTGTGAAGAGAGCTTTGTTGTGGGGGCTATGTTTATGCCAAAGCCTGCTAGTAAAAATAAAGAAATCAGCCTTTTGGCATAGAGTATAATGCCTAACTTAAATAATTAAAGTTACTTATAAGTTTTAAAAGTTATTAGCCTAGGTAGCCTATATTTTACTCATGTTAAAATAATAGATAGACTTTTACTTTTTATCCAAGTTACTTATAACTTTAAACACAATATTGAAATTAAGCTTAAGTTACACTTTTACTTTGTGACATGTGTTACACTTCAAATTAAACAATAGGCCTACCTAATTTACTAAGGCCTCAAAGCTATCTCAAGAGCACAAGAAATAACAATAAGTTAGGCTAACTTAAGTACAGTCTATAGGCAAAGTTATTTTTATTGTATTGTGAATTTAGTACCTAATGATCATTTGTAGCAATCACATTGACGTTGTCTATTACATTTCAGTATAGCATACGTTTAAAAAGAAAATAAAGATTCTGATTCTATTACTTGCCAAGTAACTTACCGTAACCATAGATAAAAGGAGTACCTACCTATAGACATGTCTAATTTTTTTAATCTATGCCGTAACCCAGTCTTTTGTACAAACTACATCTCTTATAATAAGAGACAATAAACCGGTAATCATCATAAATAATTTGTTTACCAAAATGCTAGAACTTTTGTACTTAATCTTAAAGTTAAATACACAAAGGTTAAATTACACGATACATGAGCAAAAGGCTGTGTTCTTTAAAACAATGGCCTTCAAAATATGTCAACTATCAGTTAATGTGTTAACTTGGCAAATTAATAATGATAAAGCAAGGAATAGGTATTTTGTTTAATATGACTCCATGTCACAAAAACACTAATCAAAATGCATAACCTAATTTAAGACATCAAACAAAATTACTGCCACCATCTTTCCACTCTACCTCTGTAACTAAGTTACAAAATACCATACCCGTTAAACCATTTAATGTTCATGGCCGATAAAATAAATAGGCTACGGTAATCAAAGAGATAAGTACCTAGTTACCTTTTAGTAAATTTATTAAAAAGTCTTGCATCATTAATGTAAATACAACAATAATTGTGGTTGTAATTATTACAAACCCATTAGTGGTTGCTTCATTTCACTACTATCTACTTAGGGTAGCCTATAACTTGAATTCTACTTCTTTGCCAGATCCAGTCCGAAAGATTGTGTTGTCAATTTAATAAAATAAATAAAACTATATAGGCCTAGGCTAGTAGGCTACAATTTACAGAATTTACACCTTTAAAACCCTTGGCCGTTAAACGGATGGCATGGCGGACACACTTATCTCACAAAGGGCTCATTCCAAAGTTCTTTTAATGAGTACAGTGGTCCTAATAATTACATTTTATGAACTGTAAATTCATGAGGAATACTTTTTGAGATCTTAGGTTGAATAGCATTGATTTTTGGAATTATGTATAGACATATTATATTTTTAAGAACAGCTAGTCTAGATTTTAAAAATACAAAACTTATTGAATATGTACGCTCACAAAGTGAACGATAAGCAAGTTTAGTCTAATTTTTTTTTTATTTCTTAGTTTTTGGTTTTAGCGAATTTTCCTATAGGGATGTAAGTTACTTAAGTGTTACTTATGTAAGTGTTTACTTATTACCGTAGGTGGTCAGACCTAGACCCGGGACCATTATTCTTTTTCATTTTAATGTCCCCAGAGGCCAAAAACACTAAGGTATTCGTTAAAATTTGTATATATGTGATTTGTCATCCTTATGGAACAGCTGAAGCCAATTTTATTGTTAGTTCTGTACGCCACACTGTAGAGGTTGTGTTTTGTTTAAAATATGTTTCTTGTTATTTCAGTCATTTAAAACCTTGTTTACCAAATGATCTAATCATAAACAGTAACTATAGGTCGGCCGCTTAGAAAGCGACCTCCTCCAGCATTGGTTTAGCATTAGCGCCCAGGTCGTTTTCTAAGCGGCCGAACTATAGTCTCCTGGTTACATAACCAAATAGTAAAGCACAAATTATGAAAATAACTCTAAAATAATAGAATCAAAATTCCATCTACTCTAGTGATCAGTGTCGAGGCATACATGACACCAAAAACAAGCTTCAAAACAGTGGCGGATAGCCTATAGAATATTTTTTTGGGGTGGGGGGTGGAGATTAATTTAAGGTTAGGTTAAGTAATTTCAAGTAGACACGTCAAGACTTTCTCTCAGTTTTGCTGCGGTTTTTTGCGCTAAATGTGACCTTTACTTTACCAAGATCACGCTGTATCGTTAAATAGTTCCATCAAATTATAAAAATTTATAAATTCAAGCTAAATGAAGAAAATATCTCAATTACTACTCATACAAAAGATAAGTTACTACGGCTTGCAATAACTTGTCCTTTCAGTTTAACTTGGTCAACAAGTTTGGGTATCGAAGAGATATCAGTAGCCTGATTAATTTAAATTCGGTTCTTTCTGATGGTAGCTCAATTCGACTATGTTCATCGTTAAAAAATAACACGAAAATAGCATTAAATTCATCTTATCTTCTTTATCCTAATGCACCTACAGCCAATTAGGACTCCTAAAGTAACTAAACTATTTATTTGAAAAAATATAGGTATGTAATCTTGACTTAATAAGCTTTGGTTTATGTGCAATAGTTAGATCAAAATGCCGACGAGTGGTCCAGTTTATCAGCCAACAACAGTGAGCTACGAACAGCAGAATGAGTGGTCTCGGCCGGGCAGCTACCTCAGTCAGACGGTTGGTGGTGGGCCACGCTGTGTACAGTGGGTTTTGCTTGCTATCGGGATCTTCTCACTGTCTGCAGGTAGGTTGTAGGCCTAACTGAGGTGGTTAGGTTAGGTTATCGTTTTTTCTAACATTCCTGTCAGTAATGATTTTTAGGCGGAGGTTAGTGTTTTGTTTTTCCAATGTTATTGATACCAAATGAGGCCGCAACTCGTATTTTTAATCCTTAGCCCAATATGGATTAAGTATGACTGTAGAATTAGATAGCTTATGAATAGATTTTTACAGCTACAAACCAGAGTGGGAATTTCAAAGCCAAGATGAGTAAACAATAACAAATGATTCAGATGATCATTGTTAATGACTATGAGATTGTTCTTTGGCCAAAATCTTTGTTAAAAGCCCTCGATCAAACAGCTGGGTCCAGTTTCAAACTATTAATAGGAATTTAACTTTTCTCAGAATCAAAACCGTAACCTTTTGATTTCCAGGGAAACACTATGTGGCAGTGTTGATCGCAGTCTATTTTTCGTACACATAGCGGTGTATTTTATGTTGCTATACAACACCCCTATAACTATAACCACTCATAATGTCTTGGATGAAATCATTTTTGTCTAGTCAGTAGTGTTGAAGGCCTCTTTTGTTGTAGGAATCATTATGGTAGCTGAAGGAACTGTGGATTTTACTGACAACAAACAGACGCGGCTGGAGGACGAGCACGGCAACGTAGCTCCGGCCAATGCGACAGGCGATGAGTCGACAGGCCAAGTGATCATAACCGTGGCGGGCGGACTACTGATAGTTATGGGCATACTGCTGATTGGTGAGTAGAGAACTGACAATCATAATTAATCGTATATCATATAGCCTTCTAATAAGAGATCATAATACCATACTTATAACAGGATATAATCACCGACATAAAAAAAATACTGAAAATATAAAAAAGTTCATAAGGTCTGGAAACGCTTAAGTAGCGAGTTATGGCTACCATAAAATTTTTCTCAGAATTTGGTGCTGGTGGTTAGATTGAGGATTTTTTTATTTCGTCTGAACTACACAAGAGAGCTTGCCTCTATTTTTACTTTCCCTTATGTTATTTTACCAGACAAATGGAATGAAACAAGTCTCAGAACTGTAGTTTGAGTGGCTTATGTGAAAAAGAGTGTAAAGTGTAAGATTATTTAAGTTAAAATGAATTTTTTATAGATGGTTGGCAATAATTTAGTTTAAATACTAATAAACAGATTTTTTGAAGATAAACTTTTAATTGGTAAGACCGCACTTTTCTTCTATGATTTTGTTAGCAAATGAATTTGAGTTGTAGTTGATATTTGGTGTAGTGCTTGATTCCTGAGGTTTGACCCGGAATTCACCAGCACGACGGGTCAGTAAGCTCTGTCCGAGTACAGAACTGTCTAGCTCAGTCCTTCGGCTGAGCTCCCATACTACTAATGAGAGGCCTTGTTCAATGACATTGCTCTTTTTACTGTGCCATATTTACACCCCAGTGAGTTGTAGTAATGTTTGATTGGGTAGTAGAATAACTATATTCCTTTAAAATTAAAGAGAAATTTGATCCTGGTAAAACTATATGTTTAAACATTTGTTTAGTTTAGTTCTAATCTAACCCTATTCTACTCTGTATTTGGCAGGAGTGTACATCAGGATCGTAAGGCGGAGGAAGGGGTGTCCTTGTTTACCCACCAAGGAGCAACGCCTCGCTCGTCAACTGGACAATCAAGTGAGCAACGGTCAGGTGAGAACGGCAGTTTCTATCAGGGGTGCCAAAAGCGTTTCCAATGTTTTCCCCAAGCCAAATTATTCTTTTCACAAGCATTTCCAACATTAGTCCTAAGCCAAATGACTATTTTGTTTGAGCTTTTCCACCATTTTCACCAAGCCAAATTAGGGGTTTCTTAAGCATTTTTAACGTTTTCCCCAAGCCTGGCGATTATTTTATCAAGGGTTTCCAAAATTCACCCCAAGGAAACTTCGGTTTATTCAGTGTTTTTAACAATTTACCTTAGCCAAGATTCTTGAATTCTTGTGTAGATTCTGCAGCCTTTTTTATAAGGTTTCTTACAAAATTCAAAACTATACAGTACACCATCAACCGAACTGACAGAACTGTTGTTTAGCATCGATGACAATTATTTTTGCATGTGATACAATGAAAAACCTGTGCACGAGTATGAATGTAAATAATGTCACGTTTGGTAATCATTGATTATTGTCATTTGTGCAAACACAATATGTGTACTCAGTACACAATTCATTACCACTGTTCCGTACAACACACGTCAGATTAATCAGATAAAACCTTAATTTTATTAGGCAAAATATTTAAATGTTTAACTATTACTAGCCTAGAAGAATTTGAGGCTTTAAACAGCAATCTTGACAGTCTGTTAAGGTTTACATACCGTATTGCACAAGTGCAGGTGCTCCAAATGTAAGTTTATAACCGGTAAGTAATTGATAACAGCTTATCAAAGTCATAATATTTTTCTCATTCACTGCAAGTCTGGTACTCAAAGATATTATTATCAATATGAAGTATGAACTCCTATAAATCTTGTATCAAACCATTATAATCGTCAACAAGTGCTTTTATCAAAACATTACTCTCTTGCTAATTTCATATCCATTTTTTTCTAAGTACTTAAATCATGCTTTAAATTTGTTGATCAAGTGCAACTTTTGTACCCTAAAGTTTGATGTTGCGTTGAATTAAAAGTGCAATCTATTTCTTACTCTTGCAGATTTTGTTAGTTACATTGGTTTTTAATGTTTCTGTATTTTTAATTGATTATCAAAATGTAATTTATAATATTAAATTTGCTAAACTCAAGTTCTAGTGCTTAAAAACATGAATCTAACTATTATATTGGTTTAAACAATTGTAAAGCAAAATGTTTTAAATGCTGAAAAGCACAGTTAAACCCCTAAAATTGTTATACAAACCCCTCTAGATATTTCTTCTTGAAAGCAGTTTTAAATGGTTTAATGCCCATTAATAATGTTCAATTTGATTTTATCATAAGTTTAATATTTTTATTCCCATCCAGTTGCTATTTAAATTAAACAATAAAATAAACATATTTAAAATAGAGTAACTGACATTAATTAAATCAAACTTTAAATAAGTCATCATTTGCAATTAATGAATAAAAATATTTTTGTTGAACTGTATCAGTTTTAGGAGGAAGTAACCACAGTTATGTGAGGTTATCATATTGCCTGCTTTGCAGTGGTTAACCTTGGGAGTAAGGTGATATCACGGCCGCAGTAATTGACCTCAATTTGTCCAGATTTCTTAGACCTTTCACCTTTCTGCTCTTTATCATTACTTTTTGACATTGCAAACGGGGTATATACATGCTCGTATCATGAAATGAGTGTTAGGCAATGCCTATAGTATTTCAGCTGTTAATGTGGAATAATGTTATTATTTCATCATTTGAGATTGATTAACACATTTGTTCTGTCTTGATAATATGCTTGCAAATATTACCCAAAATTAATTTGGTCTCACTATTGCAGCGTTCTAAAATACATCTAAATTTTTATTTTTTGTACCATAGGCCTACACACAATGTTAAGATAAAAAACTTATAGATGCGGTAACAGACTTTTAGAGGCACCACCTAAAATTTTAAGAATTTTATTCCACTTTTAAAACAAGAGGAAAACTAGGCCTACTGTACAATTTGATGCTAATTTAATTTAAGTATTGCTTTTAGAAAGACGTGGTTTGTCATATAAAGAACTTAGTATTGTTTAAAAAGTGTTTTGTGACAACGTAGTCTAAGCACATTTCACATCATCTATTATTTTTGTCAATGTTTGCTTCTTTTGTTTAGTTAATTCGCTTGTGGGTATTTTTTTATCAAGTCTAAAAAATGAAGTTTAATAGCTGGCGATCCTGTTTCTCAGTAAATGATTTTCTCGCTGTATTAGTAAATTTTTTATTAATATGTAATTGATAAAAGATACCCAAACAAGTTTCACCTTATTTTCAGTTTGTCGCTTTATATTTTTGTTCCTTTTGTTAAAAAGCACCTTTTTAATGGTCCACACAGATTGTAGTAGGTAAAGGAATTTAAATGTTACTTTTAAGAGAAATTTAAATCCTGTAGAGAATTGGTTTGTGTAAGTTAAGTGATTAGGCCTACTAATAACTAAATGTTATCCACTCCAATTAATTTATGTCTGGTTTAATATTAATATCCAAAATATACATATTACATTCATAAACTTTATAAAGCAAAAAAACCTTACTTTGTGTAATAATATATCGGTGTCCCATAAATTAATAGCCAAGCTCTGGGAAATGGGTTCATGGGTCAACAAATAAGGAGAAAGTCAAGAATTGTTCAAGCCTTGTCTATATATTTCATTTTTTATCCTTGATCTTTTCAAATACCCAAGTTTCAATAATTGTATTGAAACTTTGATCTCTATTATTAGCCATCTTGCACACATTTACGTCATATTACTAATTATTATTCACTATTATTTATTGGTTACCGTTTGAATAAATAAATAAGTAAATAAAAAAATCTTTATGAATATCAATATATGATAACGTATAAGATTCCTTTTTCAGAAACAAGATTCTTTGTTCTATCTATTTTGACCTACATTAGGCCCCGTTTATGCACCAAGTGCGGTAGCGGTAGCGACAGCGGGAGCGATTTCTAACACCATTGAGTTAAATGGGGCTGTTTATGCACCAAGAGCGATAGCGATAGCGGTTGACCTCCCGCTGCGATTTCTAATTCGCCCGCTGTGTAGTTAGGAATCGCAGCGGTTGCTTGGGCTGAAGCCAGGGTTGCCAACTTGACCCACGCGCACGTGCACTTAGGACAAATAGTTGTGTTAATTATTTGGCAGAGTTTGAGTTGGCAAGACTGTGTCCCCCTTCCATTCTCCTTTAACCAACCGCTACCGCTATCGCTCTTCGTGCATAAACAGACTCATTTACAGCGGGAGCGGGCCCGCTATCGCACCGCTCCCGCACTTGGTGCATAAACGGGGCCTTACCATTTTCTGGAGTTGTACACATTATCTATGGGCACCCGTATACTGGGTGTATATAGAGTCATTGGAAAGATTTTGTGCATTTCCATGGGTCAAAACAATAAAAATTATTGTATGAACATGGGTTCAAATCGTAGGCCTACCAATCAAAATGTTTCACCTGTAAATCTTTAACCTGAGAGCCTGGGGTTCAAATCCTCTGTGTGGACCTGAGTTTTTGTTACTTTTCCCCATCATGCCACTTAGTGTTAGCGTTGTGTCAGATAATGACTGTGAACCCATCCACGGATCTGTTGGTGGCTGCTCAGTACGGACCTGTGTCGGAGATCGCTTACCAGCCGCCGCAGCACGACAGCGAGGAGACGCGCAAGTTGATGGCCAGCGACAACAAGGAATGGTAAGTTGCAATGAATACTGAATAGTATCAGCAAACTGACACATACTTTGTCTCATTGGTTTGACATTGAAATAGAACATCCTACTACTTTCATGAGCAAACAAGTTGAAACAGTTATACTGTGTAACTAAAATAAGAATCTAAAGAAGTGACAGCAAACAACCTGTAAAGTAAAATAATTTAATTTGTTTACAGCATGAAAAGATAAAAAAACAAAGATTCAAAATTCCTTTATTTTACTATTCAACCAAAACCAAAAACTACGATTAAATTTACGATAACCAAAGCACAAAAATGTTGTACCAATATTTTTCTTCTTGAATTAATTCTTTGATGATTTTTAATATACATGTGAGGATTAATAAGTTCGGTTTATTTTTCTATAGTAAGTTCTGATGAATGTTTTAAAATGTTAAAGCCTGGAGTCATTCTTGATTTTTTCATGGCTTGCTGGACACCTTGCACACTTAGAAGTTCTTTAGGCATTTTGAGATTACGAAAGCCGTATTTTAGTCGTAAGTAATTGTCTAGCGCTCGAGAGAAATAGTCACATGCTTGTCAGAGATAACGGGTAGCTGTCAAATTAGCAGTCATGCGAGCATTAATCATTCAAGGGTTTCCAACAAAAATAACCTGCTATGGTCTAATTTTATCCTTAACATGCGTGTCTCATTGATTGTATAGTTTAACTTCCTATTTCCTACAAACTATTGTAAATGTAAATTTGTTTATGTGTGCTTCTTTATTTATGAAGCGGTAGTTTATTGTGTAACTATATTTGTTTTTGACTGGCGACGTTACGTTTGAAAGTGGTATTGTTTGGATTCATGTTTTAAATTATTCTAGTACTTGGTTTTCTCAACTTGGTTTACCGTACTTGACATTTTTTTATCCCTTACTGATATTCTCATAAGATAATTTTTACTTTCTTCCCCTATACTTAGTAGCCTATATGGAGAAAGCAGGCTATTTTTTCAAAATTTTAGAGTTTGAGATTCGGGACAAAGTGGCTTTTTAAGTGATGTGTGTATGTGTGTGAATGTTTGCAGAGCCACGGACTGCACCTGTGGTCCGATTTTGATGACATTCAGTATGAGGGTCCTACTAATCTATGGTACCTCCAAAAGTTTTTCATTTTAGAAATTTTGATTTGTAATGCTAATATTTCCATAAAACCTATAAAAACTGAAAATTTGGGTATTTACAAAATCAGCCTGGACAATTTTGATTAACATTTAGTATGTTATGGTCCTTACAAAATGGTTCACCTCCAATGCTTAAAAAATATAGTTAAAAGATTTCAATAATTGTTGTGATTTTTCTTTTTTTTTTACCATGCTACACTTTGTCTAACAGTTTGTTACACTCCAAAAATTCTGTTTACTGAAAATTAGATTGTTGACAAGCTAATGGGGAAGTGTCAGTTTGCTGATTCAATTTATGTTCTAGTTTTGTATACTGTTGTGTTGTTACATGGATACAAATAGAGGGGAACTGTACAAATTCATGAACTTGATTGTAAAGTATCGAAGTTTAACCAACATAAAATAGCTTTTATTTCTGCTCATGTGTTAAAAGATGTCATGACACAGCTTAGAGATATTTGAAGCTTCATATTGTACAATAATGTACTGTTTTGAGAAAGAGAACAGTTTTGAAGCAAAAATTAAGTAAGCCTCATCTATTTTATGAGAGTGATATTACTTAATCTAAATGTATATATCTGTATTTTTTCCCTGAACTATCCTACAATTAGAAAGAAGGTGGGTGTCACAATGTTATTTCATTCACTAATCCTTAAGTTTTCTTTTGTTAACCTACTCTCAGGCATCAATATTTTTCAAAACCTGCTTCTTTGTGTGCCCCAGTATAGTTATGTTACAAATGTGATTTTCCAACATTTTCATTGTTTGGTTTTGCTACCTTAACTTTAACTCTTAGTTTTGGTTTATTAATATTGAAATATTGGTTTGAATGCAATGTATGAGTCTTTTTGGTGTTTTAGTGTGGTTTACTTTATTCTAACAATCTCTTTTGCCCCCCTATATATGTGAATAGAATCATATTTCCTAAAAAATTCTTTGACTCCTTACTTAACGCAACATTATCTATATCCTACAGATTAATCTTTTTAAGATTTTGTGTGCTTTTTACAAGTGTGTGCACAAACTCTCCACTGACCTTTTAAGGTATAATTCCTGGATCAAAGACAAACTAGAATGTCACGTTAAAAATTTCTACTCAAAAGTTAGGCTACCTGTAACAGTTGCCATTATGATTTTATCACAACACTTTTTTTGTTACATCTGTTTGTAGGTGCCTAAATTTAAATTCAAGATTTATAATGCAACTAGCTTTTACTCGCGGGCTTCGCCCTGCTTGACTTCATAACAGTGTATTAACAAAACTATTGATTGCCATACCGGTTTGAGTGGCATTACGAAAGGCTTTTCATGGTTACTTTGAAGAACAACATTGGACTTAATTAACTGTCAGGGCAGAGCCCTAGTAGATTATTTAAATATAAGCTGACTATGTCCTTTAAGCCTGTGGTTATTAGCTCTAGTATTTTTTCTTAAAAATTACTATTATCATTGATAGATAATAAATCGTTCTTTTCAAGGTATGGATTTTAGAATTTACCTTATGTACAATACTTTCCATGTATTTTTGTCTGTAACGACTAATGGAAATTTTCTAACAAATTTTCAAAACAGTTTTTTTTTTCTTGATCTTCCCCTTTTCCCCCTACTCCCTGTTGTGTTTCATAACCCACTAACGGTGTGTTGTGTTATCTCACCGCAGCACCGAGGAAAGTGAACGCATGCTGGAGTCCGATCCTCGAATTGTTCTGAGGCCGCTCAGTCATACGGAAGACGCTTAATTTGTCAAGGTAAGCAGCAGTGTTCGATAGTTATAGTTACTCAACAGTCGGGTGGCATCCAAGTCGAATGCCACTTCAACTGTGGTGCAAGCTTGCTATGTTGCCAGTTTTAGGTTAAAAAAGAGCGTACAGTAGACTTTCGGATTATCCATGTAATGGCTGAGTGATCACGGCTAATCGAAATTGTAGACACCTAACCTAAAACGCCTGCAAAATAACCAACATTGACTTTAAATTAATTAATAGTTATGCTTTGATGAAGGTTTAGGTGGTAATAAAATGTTTTGGATTCAGTTTTAAAACTTGTTGTTTAACACCTTTTTTTACAACTGAATGAATGAATGTTGAAAATTACAGTTACAACAATAAATAACACATTTTTCATTCTCCATCATCGACGTAAAGACCATTATACAATTATAAGTACAAAGGTTTTTACATGTATAACTTTTTAGCAATAATAGATAAAAATATACAGTTTATGCAAACCACTATTAGATAAACTTAGAATAAAAACTTTAATTTTATTTAACTTAACTTAACTCATATATATATAACTTTAATTGCGTAAGCATCAATGTGACTAAAGAATCCTTGTCATGAATTGAAAGTCATACTCTACGCTAAATAACATATATAAACTAACTTTTTTAATGTATACACATGTTAAAGCAAACTACAGGAGACTCCCGATTAGCTGGGGTAATGGGTGGCTGAGCAATCGTGTATAATCGAAATCGCGGATAAACCAAATCTAACCTAAAATACACTAGAAATAGTTAAAAACTATTGTGAAAGCAAAATAAGTCCTTCCTTAATAACCTTTAGGCTACTGAATGTTAGGCTTAATAACGTGAAAGACTTCAAATACAAGATTACAGTACGTACCTTTTAATAAACACACAATTATTTTACAAACAATATTTTTCACATCGGTAAAAACATTCCAATACGTGAAACAAGTGCACTATACTATAGGCCTAATGTCGAAGTTGCCGTCTTTATTGGCTTCGAGGAAAATAGTCCATTATCGATTTTTGTTTCTTGTCATTTGCTTCCTTTTTAACAATGCTTGACCAAATTTTTCTCAGCACCATGAGATTGCACAACAAAGTGTTATGTTCCCCTTCCAAAAAGTCCAATAGTCCCTCTGCATAATGGCGGGCAGTTGCGTACGATATTTTTGGCTCGGCAGCAGCTTCTTCTTCTTGACTCTGGCTCTCAATTCCCAGAGCATGTCTCAATATTTCGCCGTCACTCACAACTTCGGATGACGGCAATCCTAAGTCAATGTTTAGCCAGTTATTGATGTCTTCAATGTCGACATTTTCTCCACCAGGCACGGTGTTGGCTAATGCGGCTAAGTCAGCTGGGGTGTCTTCCTCTTCAAATCCATGAAAATCTTCTCCTCCTACGATATCAGGAAGTATTTTCTACCAAGGCTTAGTAAGTGTGGTTGATTTTACTTTCCCCATCTCGTAAATCGCATCCAAGATCGTGAAATTTGATTTCAAAATGTCTTTAAATCAATTCCCTCTTCAATGAATTTATTTAGAACGTTCAAACGGTAGTAGCATTTGATGTTGGCGATAACACCCTGATCCATGGGTTGTATTAGAGCCGTTACATTTGGTGGGAGGAACATGGAAGTACTTTGCCCATCTTCTGACTGCAAAAGTCCTTTTGGGTGGGAAGACTCAATTAATCGAGAGTAAGAACAGCTTTTGGTGGAAGGTGGTTTGATTTTAAAAACTCACGAACTTCAGGACATAATTTCTTGTGAAACCAATCATGAAAAATGTCTTTCTGCATCCATCCCTTTTTCTGATTGTAATAATGTACCGGCAAATTTACAGCTGGAGTACCTTTAAAAGAACGAGGTTTCTTTGCTTTCCTATTACAAGAAGCTGAAGCTTATGTGTGCCAGCAGCGTTTAAGCAACACATAACCATAATCCTTTCTTTGCTTGCTTTGTGGTCAGGTGCACTTCGTTCATGTTCTGCCGCAAGTGTTTTTGAAGGGAGACATTTCCAGTACAGCCCAGATTCGTCCGCGTTATAAATTTGCTCTGGCAATAATTCGTTGTTGGCTACACATTTGTTGAAATAAAGGGGGGAGAGCCGTTTGGGATAACCAATATTTCGGTTAACCCGTCATATGCAAAAATAGCCTGGGTTATCAAGGTGTGAAGGAAATATGAATTTAAAATAATGTCTATACAGTATAATACAGTCCTTATCCTTATCCTGCTGCGACGTCGTTGACCAGAATTTCTGGATAGACTGTGTCATAAACTAAAAATAATATTTACACTATTTACAATACTTTTGGCAAGATGGCGTTGAGCCTATACTCGATGGAACGCATCAAAATACTCGTCAACTGAGTACAGTGGTCGGTCGACTAGCCAGGCTTTAACTTTCTTTTTAAAAGTGGACGGTTCACAAGACTTAAATCTTTGGGGGAGACTGTTGTACATCTTCAGAGCCCTGATGCGGAAAAAGCTTTGTGTTTTGGACAGCCTGCAGTAAGGTATGTGGAGCTGATCTCTGTTACGAAGGTTGTGGGAGTGGTGGAATTCCCTTGTTGTGAGTTGATCTAAGTTATCCCTCACAAAACAGAGGCTAAACAGTACATACTGGCTGAAGATAGTAAGGATTTTTAGGCTTCTGAAGATAGGCCTACAGTGCTCACTGTCACTCTTCGATGCAATAATCCGAACCGCCTTCTTTTGAAGGAGAAGAATATCTTCACACCTTGCAGCGTGTCCCGAAAGCAGGAGTCCATAGGAGAGGTGGGAATGAAACAAGCCGTGATAGACGGTGGTCAGGTATTTATTTCAAAGATAAATCTTCTTCCCTTTTCAGTGTTTTATTTCAACTCCAAAAGTGTTAAAATGGGTTAGAAAATACTTTTAAATAAACCATTGAAGCCACCAAAGTATACTTTATCCCTGTATTATTTTATGGGACCGTTTTGGTTAACACAAATTCAGTTAACCGGGGTTCTACTGTACTATACTGCGTTCACAAAATTTAGGCAGTTTGGTTGAGGGGAAGTGATTTCATTCCCTCCATTTCGCCCTAACAACAACCGACAGCTGATCAGCTGATATATATATATATATATATATTAGGATAAAAAAGTGGTGGGGGAACCCAGGAAACATTCCCTTTAAACTGTCTAAATTTTTAGAAATGGGTTTTAAAGGGTTGTTGCTGGGATTTTCTACCATGATTAAAAGTTTTCATGATGTTTAGATCTGGAATCTCAGGTGATAAGATAAGTACTCTAGCTAAGCCAAAGCTGGAAAATCACAAAAGATAAGTGTATAGTAAACAACGATTTGTAAACAATTTTTTTTTTATTAACTTGTTGCAGAGATAAACAGGCTCTTGGATCCATACAACTTTTCAAGTAGTTAGTATTCTAGCCGCTTCTTACGGTTATGGTTCTTAGTTGAGTCATAAAGAAGTGTTAATGTCATGCAATAAAGTCATTTATGTTATCACTTTCCAACTTTTTAATGTTGGCATTTTATCTCTTTTAGTTTGTAAAACGGGTTTTAACTTTGAAGCATCTTTTTTATTACTAAGACAGAATCATTTAAAATTTGGGTCTTTGTTTCTTGTGAGGAGTGGAATCCAATCTGAGCTTGGAATTAATATGTGGGATATTTTTTGCTTAGCATATTTTCTGGTGAAACACTAAAGGAATAAATAAAGTTTAAAAGATTTCTTTAACAAGAACACAGTTGTGAGCATTTGTTTGATCAAATTTTAAAAGTAATAAAATTTACATAATTTCTGTTGAATCAAAGACTGTCAATAACCAATAACTAATTGTCCAATTGTTACCAATGTATACAGATTAGATGGTTTTCAGAGAATTTGAATACAACTAAACTAAAACTTTAGGCAAAGAGATGACAATGTTTCTTATTTCATTAATCTATTAGAGGGTAACTTATTTATTTATAAATGACATGTTGGGATCAATGAGACATTGAGATAACGTAGTCTCAATTATCTAACCTAATCCAGCTACGGAATTCGAATAAGCAGGAAAGTAGGAATAACAGGAAAACAGTGAAAAACATTACGAAAATGTTAAAATCCACATTTAAACGTTGGATACTTTTAAAATACAAGTTAATTCATTACATACCTATTTAATTTTAAAAGTAAAGTCCAAAACGTTTTTGTACTAGGCTTTATTTTATTTGTCTTTTAATTTTGATGGTTTTACCTGTTACCCCAGATCTTCTAGAGGTTGTGACAGTTGAGTGAAAATTAATTGTTGAATCTAGACTTCTTTTAACTGGAAGGTATAATAATCAAAACCGTTTAAGTTGTTTATTTTTTTCAGTGTCACCAGTTTCTCCAGCTTTTTTCCAGTAAACAAACGGTTTGCGAAAATTAACATTGCCTCTCCTTTTAATTGTGTTCCTGTGTTACAGCCGATCCCTGTCCGTGGTGGAGGAGGAAGGGGAGAGAGAGGTTGAGGATGTAGGCGGAGGGAGGGTATCGAGACGCAACACGCCTCCTGTAGTCAAATATCGCAATCGTCTCGCAGCCATGCGCGCTCCTCTGGCTCAACACGAAGACATCACCCCTTCTCTGCGCTCTTCATTTAGCAGTATCAATTTTGACTCGCCGAACGACTCTATTCGCTCTTCGCTTCTGGAAAGTTCGTCCGAAGGTGAGGAATTGACAGAGTCGGAAGTTTAAAATTACTCGACTGAATCGGTTGATGCCGAGAGACTAATTTTTATATGCAGTTATTTATAGTTTTTATTTATTTAAATTTAAATTTTAGCGTAGGTTTTGTATTTAGTTTATATAAGGGATTCATTCATGTTTTTGAGTGGTTCAATGTTTTCAAACATTAACGTTGGTGTTCACATTATCTAAGAACATTTGTAGAAATCTAAACTTGTTTTTAGGTGTATACGTCTGTCAAGAAAAAGAGAATTCCAAACTTGAAACAGAATTTTGTAATTTTGTTACCCTTTTGCCTTTTACTTCTTTTACCATAAATAAAGATGTGAAATGCTCACAATAATTCCATAAAAAATATATTAATCAATTAAAAATAATCAAAACAAAATATCACTGTGTAAACATTTACTTTTTTACAAAAGTAAACTTAGTTTACATATTTTTAAAATGTTCCTCCAATGTTTTAGAAGTGATTCAACTCATCAACATGAATGAAAATTTTAGTTTTAGGCTGTTTGCTGGTTATTTGTAAAGCACAAATGTGTATTTTATAAGTTGCAAGAATTTCATTATCTGAATAATCTCAGTTCCATTCATATTGTAAGTGGCTAGCTAGTTTTGGCCGTTTGTGTAAAAAGATTTGATGATACATTTTAACTAAGAAATGATCACTAAATTCGTAGTTTGTAAATTTATAACTTTTTTAATAGTGTTCTACTATTTAATTTTTTCATCAAGTTAGATAAAATATTTTTATGTATTCTTCTTATAGTGGTAGATAAGCTATGACAAACCAAAGGGTATGGTCCGTGGCCATGTATTTTTTTATCGGTGAGTTTTTCGATCCTTTATTACTGCCGCTCGACTGAGTTTATATATTAGAGGATTAGAGGGCTCAATAATGACAATTAATTTTCTTAAGTACTATAAATATATAATTATACTGTATAAATATTATTAAAACAATGTGGTTTTGTGGTCTATCTAAAATTCCGTGTAAATTTGATACTGAATTAATGCAAATTGATTGTTTACACATTTTATTAACTTTTAAATATTGTATTGTTGTTGTAAATAAAAATGCAAAGATTTTGTTCCATTTGGATGAAACTTGGTATATAATTAAGAAGGGGTTTCAGATAAAACACAATACAACACACAATAACACATTGTCAATTTTTTCTTTAAATGATATTAAAGAAAATTACTTTTGTTATTGGGCTCCCTGTCCCCTTTAGTGTTAGTGGTAGTTTTAAAGGATCGGCCGCCAGTGGTTAATAATTGGCTGAGGACACGGACCCAACTCTTTGGTTCGTAATAGCTTGTCCACAACTATAGTTTTGAAACTTCAGGGTAGAGCAATTTCAATGAAGTTTGTTTTCTTGTGCATGAAGATTCCTAGTTACTTGTAACTACATATGTAAATAAAATCATACATATTATTGATTCTAGTTTGAATTAACATTTACTGTCTAATAAACAGTGTATATAACACAAATCTGTAAATTTCTCAAAAGATGTTTCAAACTTTATTTATATAAGTGTCTAAAGAACTGTGAATCAAAATATTTAATTAACACTTCTTATTTTAGAAATATTCAACGTATCTGTAACTAGTTCCTTAGTAGAGTATTGATCTAAAAGAAATACATTTGAATTTTAAATCAAAGTTAGAAATTGTATATAATTAGTTATTTTGTTTTTGGTTTACGATTAAATATAACAGTTCTTAAGGCACAGATTTTCTTGCACAAATATTTAGTTCATCTGTCTGTTACCCATTCCGTTCATTAACCGTCCGCTCTTTTGATGCACTGATGTGTTTATTTAATGTAATATTACCTCGTTCTTTCAGAACAGTTTGTGTACTTAACAAAACAATAAGAATAAAATATTGATATATTATGAGACATTTACTGAAAATCTACCATTGGAATTTGGATTTGTCCATAACATTGTCGATTTTTAATATCTCCGTGTCCTCTGCTTGGTAGTCAATGAAGTAATGGAGATTCTGAATTTTTGAAATGAAGAAGTTTGCAAGTTTTTAGACAACTTATTAAGCTTTGGATTGTCTTTCAAGCAAAATACAATGTTTTATTTGCTCAATCTGCCATACCTTGTAAACAAGTTAAAGGTTCTAGACTATTTACTTTCATCCAGTATTCAAACTTAAACCAGCTTTTTACTCCTGAGCTTGTATTATAGATGGTAAATTATAGTATTGCAATACATATTTTTACACCAATGTGTATTATAGAAAGTAGCGATATTATTCAAATAAGAATTTGTATTTGTATAGAATAGGAACAAATTTGTGTGATTTTGTTTGCTTTAAACTTTATTGATTGACTTGTATTTATGTTTTTCATTTTTAATAGTCTAATGATTTTGTTCTAAAATTTCAAGTTTTAAAAACAAGTTGAATGGTATATTAATGTTTTTATACAAATCGTTTTTATTTGATTCGATATTAGATGTATTTTACATGTATAGATTATATTTACTACATATTTTAATTGTCTATATTTACCTATAAAAGTTAATTAATGAGAACTCCCTTTGTAATATTTTAAAGTACATAACAGCATTTTAGAAAATTAGTTTTGTCGTAAGCTACCGACTTGTAAAGAGATTTAAAAATTCTTGCTGTTATTCATAGTCCAGCTATAAACTGTAGTGTATTTTCATTCACATTAATAACTCATCAGTTTTATAAAATACAAGGCTATTGAAAAAGATGTCAAAATGTAGATAAAACAATCGAAGCACTTAAATGACATAAATAATAAGTTTTTTGTTTTTTTCTGCTCCATTGCGTGTTTTGAAGGGAACAGTCCAAACCCTAGTCTTTGCTACTTAATATCATGTATGTAATGTTTTAACATCATGTTATTATGTTTAGAGTCTCAGCGACAATAATGCCATCTGAGTCCAGATCTGAGTTTTAGAATCAATCCCGCTCCGGCTCGGCATCGGAAGTAATCTTTTGATTTTACTGTGAACGCTAGATTAGCAACTAAGAATGGTTCAATTTTTCCAGACATCTTTTTCAATGACTATGTATTTATATAGATTTTCAATCCATATACTAATCTATATTTAACTGTGTTAATGTTATTATGCCATATACGAGAAAAATATATTAGAAAATAGTTTAATCAATTGTTAATTGTTACAATAGCACAGTTTTAGTTAGCTAAATTTAGTAGTCTCAGTATTTTAATGCATCAATGTCTAAACTAATGAACACATTTCTTAGATAAACTCAAAAGATAATTTCAATACGTAAAAGAATAGGTTTCTAAAATTGTTTTAAGTTGATAAACAAAATATATAATATGCAAATGACTCCTAACAACATGAGACCCCCAGAGAAATTGGTCATATTTGTCTTTATTAACACTTAACACATTGAAAATCTTGAGTCGGTGGCTCATTTTGACTGTGAATCTCAAACATTTGTGTGTTGTGGGTTCACATTTCAACGGCCCACTGAAAATGTAACAGTACTGTTCATTGGTACTTGATTGGCTCACCCCTTAGTAGTTAGTTTGCTGAATACTTTCCATGCCTAGTCCTGAGATAAATATGGACAATCAAATACAAAATTAAAGATAGCGCAAAACTCTTTTTTTCTAATTTGGCTTTGGTAAATTATTGTTTAAGTTATTACCACCGAAAGACGAATCTTAGCCTATTTTTGGCTGCCCGAACAAGTTTTATGAGGTATATGCTATTAAGTATCATGTTTATAGACAATTTAAGGAATTTAAATTTAATGTTAATTCATTAACTCAATTAAGACTTTAGATATTGTTTTACGGAACTGAATGTCTTGTACACATTTTTTAGCCGATATTATATTTTACCTGTTGATACAATAGACTATTGTACACATTACTCACATTACTTGTTCTTAAGTTGGCAGGCAGTCTTGTAAAACATGCAAAAATTTGCTTAGACCACGTAATATAGTGAAATATGTCCAAACATTTCTTACTGAATATTTTAATTGACGAGTCGGATCATCAGGGTTTTGTTTATTAAATGCCTGAGTCGGCATAAATTAAGGTTTAGTTTTTTGTAACAGAATAAAGTTAAAATTATAAACGGAGAAAAAAGGAAAAATCATTGTAAACAAAAGATTCAAATACTGTAATGATAAATGTAAATTATGCATTAAATGATTTTAATTTTTTACAATGTAATTTGTAACATAACATAACATATTATGTAGGGATGGACGAGATTGGATTTTTAGTTCGAGACGAGACGAGACGAGATTTTTTATTTCTCATAAAATTTCGAGACGAGATCGAGACGAGATTTCTCTTCTCATACACAACGGGAAATGCACGTTCGAAATTTTTACCTGATTTTGTAACATTGTTAGATGACTGTTTAAATACTAAAATAATGATAATAGGCAAGAATATTTACAATCTTTCATTAAATAACATCAGCGCATTTTTTTATTAATCACGCCTAACTTATTAAAAATGCCTACGATTAGGAAACATGGTGATATCAGTTAGGATAGAGTTCAACTTATCCTAAAATAAAATAAATCATAAAATAAAAGCAATATTAATTTTTATAAAATAGTTACTTGTTTTGACTTTTTTATAGTAATAAAACATTCCTCACACTGCTTACACTTAACAAAACTTCTCAAATGTTATTAAAGTAATATTATTAAAATAATGAAAGTAATATTTACATTAAAAGAATTAATTAAATAAGAACGCCTTCGAAAAGGAAACGCAACTACAACACGCTCCTGTATTGCGGGTATTGCATTGACTTTCTGCAGGCGTTTTTAATTTTTTTTTTTTTTTTTTTTTTTTTTTCTCGTCTCGATAAAAATCTCGGCCAAAAAGTAATCTCGTCTCGTGTAACGAGATTGAAAATTTCCCGAAATTTCGAGACTTGACCATCCCTAATATTATGTCATTTTATACCCGGTTCAAACAGCCGTGGCACCTGAGAGATTAGGAGACTCCAAGGGTTTCCATGGGGTCTCCTAATCCGTCAGGTGCCACGGCTGTTTGAACCGGGTATAGTAACCTGACTACCTTTATCAGATATTAAATGATCAAAATACTTCCAACATGAAATTTAAAATAGCAATTAAAATTGTAACACCAAATAATTTTCAAAGCAATCTACTAGACTAGTAACGAAGACATTGTTTTCTTTGTGATTAATTTAGAATACAATTCCATTTTGTTATGGTATGTGTTTTGGTTGTGATTTTTTTACCGGACCAGCACGCTTCAGTATATAAAATATACACTTTTATATCAAACTGGCTGTTTGTTTTATCCTAATCGTATTGATGGTCCTCCTAGAGTTTAACATCATCTTGTTTATTGTTAAAGCCAACACATGCTGGACGCAAGTAGTAGTCATTTTGGGGGTTCTAGGACAGAGGAGGGAGGAGTGTAGACCACGTGGGTTGAGGTAGGTAACCTCACTTTGCCTAACCTAACCTAACCTTACAGACAGAGACTGATCCTCTGATTTGGATGACCTTTTTTTTGTGTAGATATAAAGAACGTTAAATCAGTTCTCATTTGGTATACTTGTCGTATAATAGGATCTCACGGCTGAGATTGAAAACGACAACAGCTTTTGAATCTCATTTTATATAGGACCACCAATAGGTTCTCAACTGCACAAAAATGGTGCCGATTGCATCATTCGGTGCTCATGTTTTCACTAGAGGATTTGTATGAAGATGCAGTATTTCGATCTCAATGTATACTGACACGCCATTTGAAACTCATTGTTTTCATGTTGATTTTTACGTGTCTTTTGAGTTGAGTCGTTCCGTGTTTAGTGACGTCACTTGTCTTGGGATCATGTGATCATGGAATGTTCTAGAAACATTACCATAAAAGGAAATGCCACGTGATAGGTCACGTGATCATCTTGGAACGTTCGAGAACATTACCATATATGGTCATGTGTTTCGACGATTGTGCAACAGCCCGCGCGGTCTTGCGTCAGTCTTCTCTGAGAGGTGGTTGTGAGAGGTGCTATTTTTCGAGTCTTTGAAATTGTGTAGTGCGTGAAAAGTAAGTTTTCAACCATTTATAAGTGTGACGAGGATTTGCGGTGATGGCTAGTGTCAGTGCTACGAAGCGATCGTTTCCTAGTGACAACGAGAGTGATGACGACAGCCTTCCTACACCACCGAAGCGTCGTTGGTTCCAACGTTATAAAGACGATATTGAGGAACAACAAGGTGCTAGGGAAGAACACCGCTTGGATGTTGCCTCGGTCTCTGACGGAGAACATCATGTGTCACCGGTTGTTCAAAGTGCTACCAAGCGGTCGTTTCCTACTGACAACGACAGCGATAACGAGACCCGTCCTACATCACCGAAGCGTCGTCGAGCCCAACATAGTGAGTTGGATATTTCGGAACAACTACAAGGTGCTAGTGAGATGATGGACATTCAAGAGCAGGAAGAAGATGTTTCGGATGTCGTGCAGGTTCTACCTGTCAGGAGAGTCGATACAAAAACATTAAAATTCTGTGATGTATGTCACCTCAGTATTACTAGGAAAAACTGGGCCCGTCATACTGGGAGTAGAGCTCATCAAGCGGCGTGGATACAAAAACAGCAACTAAACCAACCATCCGTCATAGTTCAACCATCCATCATAGTTCAGCCATCCATCATAGTGCAAGTCCCACGTAAGCCTCCGCCACCACCTAATCTTGAAATCATCCAATCTAAAACGGCGTTCAGAGGTCGAATGAAGACGTTTGAGATCAATAATGTCAAAGTAAATGGTTACAAAAGTGTTGAAACTTTTATCGAAGATTCCAAAAAACTTATAATTGAAAAGGTTCGTGATGAGGGAACTTCATTGAAAATCCAACTTATCCTTAAGGCAAAGTTCGCTAAAGGGATTACGGAAAAAGTCGAATCTGATTTTGAATTCAAAACGAAAAACATCATCATTTACGAAGATTCTAATCTATCAGATTTGTTAAATGAGGCAAAACAAAAACTATTGACTGAGATGGAAAGTTTTAATCACAAAGGCTCCAATTGGAACATGAAAACGATTGAATGTCTTTTTTTACATATCAACTGACTTAAGCCTTTGAAAGGGTCTAGTTACATAGCCCTGCCAGAAAAAATTCGCTTGAAACGTGCTGTTGTAAACATAAAAAACAATGATCAGCGTTGTTTCATGTGGTGTTGTCTAGCAGCACTCCACCCTTCAAACGTACACCCGGAGCGGATCGACAGCTACACTGCTTACGTAGATGGATTTCTCAAGTTATTTGATGGGATAGATTTTCCAGTCAAACTGACTGATGTAAAAAAATTCGAAAAGCGTGCAGGATTATCGATCAATGTATACGGTCTTGAAGAAAATAGTGATGTTTTTCCCTTGTGTGTAACAGATGAAGAAAAGCCCGTGCATGTAGACCTGTTGTTGGTTAAAGATGGAACGAACTCACACTACTGTCTAATCAAAAACCTATCTCGTTTAGTTCGCAGTCAAGCTACAAAACATAAAGGAAAATGCTATATATGCAGACGTTGTCTTCAGCACTTTCATAACGAAGACAATTTGAAGACACATATGGAGGACTGCTCTAGACATGATGCTCTAAAAATAAAGCTCCCTACCGCTGGAAAAAATGACAAAATAAGATTTACAGAACACAATAAATCAATGAAAGTTCCTTATGTCATTTATGCCGATCTGGAGAGCATGCTCCTCCCGATTTCTACTTGTGAACCATCGGGAGTTGATGAAAACGGTGCTAAGAGATCGTACACATACAGCTATCAGAAACACGAAGCTATAAGTTTCTGTTACTATATCTCTGGCAGTGAAAAGCCTCCAACGACATATTTCGGGGAAGATGCTGGACGAAAGTTTGTCGAGGCGTTGAAAAAGGAGGCCGTAGAGATAAAACAAATCTACGAAAAGATCATTCCAATGACACCATTGGAGGAAGAAGAGATACGTAGACATAAAGAAGCGGTAACCTGTCACATCTGTCAGGAACCTCTCAATGAAACCGACAAAGTGAGGGATCACGACCACCTCACCGGTTTGTATCGAGGCCCTGCCCATTCCAAATGTAACTTATTGTTTACTAAACCCAAATTTATTCCTGTTTTCTTGCACAACCTTTCTGGCTACGACATACATCAGTTCATCAAAGAAATAGGACGACAAGGTGAGAAACTCAAAGTGATTCCCCAAAACGATGAGCGATACATATCATTCACCGTTCAAGTTAGGGGAGGGTTGGAACTGAGATTTTTGGACTCTTTTAAGTTTTTAAGTGCAAGTTTAGACCAATTGATTAACAATTTAACTACAGATCAGTTGGAGCATACAAAGAGATTTGTCAAATCATCACAGATAGAGTTGGTAACAAGAAAAGGGGTTTATCCCTATGACTTTATGGATAACATAACAAAATATGATATGACAACTCTGCCGGAACTTCATGATTTCAAAAACAAATTAAATAAGTGTGATGTATCAGAATCAGATTATGAGCATGCTCAAAAGGTTTGGAATGAGTTCAACATCAAAGATATGAGAGAGTACACATTGTTTTACAACAAGATTGACGTCCTCCAGTTGGCAGACGTTATGGACAACTTCAGGCACGTTTGCCTTCAAACATATAGTCTCGACCCAGCGTGGTACTTCACAGCTCCCGGATTAGCCTGGTCGGCGATGCTGAAACTCACTGATGTAGAGCTCCAGTTACTAACCGACCTCGATATGATTCTAATGGTTGAAAAAGGAATTCGTGGAGGTGTTTCGCAGTGTTGCTTGAGACAAGCTCGAGCCAACAACAAGTATATGAGTCAAGGCTTCGATGAGAACAAAGAACCTAGCTACCTGGTGTACTTAGATGCGAATAACCTATATGCTTGGGCTATGTCGCAGGCAATGCCATTCGGTGACTTTAGATGGCGAAAAGATACTGAAATAAATGTTTTAGACATCAGTGATGACGCAGCCACCGGCTACATTCTCGAAGTTGACCTCGAGTATCCCGAAGAAATTCATGACCACCATGCAGACTTTCCACTCGCACCTCACCACATGATTCCACCTGGGTCAAAAATATCCAAACTGGTCACCACTTTGTACGACCGATCTAGATACGTTGTACACTACAGAAATTTAAAACAGTATCTCAACCTCGGAATGAAACTAAAAAATATACATCGGGTTCTTGAGTTTTCTCAAAAACCGTGGATGAAACCATACATCGATTTAAACACTAACATGAGGACCAAGGCAAAAAATAAATTCGAAATTGACTTCTACAAGCTTATGAATAACGCGGTATTTGGGAAAACTATGGAAAACCTTCGGAATAGAGTGGACGTTCGTCTGGTAACCGACGAACGACAGGCGGATAAATTCATTGCCAAACCTACATTCAAGAGTAGGAAAATATTTACGGACCATCTTGCAGCTGTGCACATGACCAAAACATCACTTCTTTTCAACAAACCGATTTACGTGGGGGCGGCTATTCTAGATGTGTCGAAAACCCTTATATACCGTTTCCACTATCAAGTGATGAAGAGCAGATATGGTGATCGGGTCATACTCGCCTATACTGATACCGACTCACTGATTTACATCATATATACAGAAGACTGGTACATGGACATGAAAGAAATGATTGACGAGTTCGACACGAGTGCATATCAAAGTGCCAACCCTTTTGGTATGCCTCGAGTAAACAAAAAGGTTCTCGGAAAAATGAAAGATGAGCTGGAAGGTCTGATCATGGT